GGCGCCTGCACCGCAGGCGCCTCGAGCAGAAGAGCGGCAACCTGCCGGCAGGTCGGAGCGGGCGCCCCACGGGAGGTTCCCTGCCCCGCGATGGCCTTCGAGGCCCACGGCAGCCCTGGGGCACCTCGGAGGGCCGAAGGCTCGGCGGCAAATGCACCCCTCGATCGCTTATGGCAAGGCTTATTCACCCACTGCGGCCCTCTCCAGGTGGGGGGGGGACGACGCGGGGCTCGTGAAACTTCGCCGACCTGAGCACGTCGCCAAACCCTTCCCAGGCAACTGCTCGCAACAGATAAGCTTCAGAGAAGAATCCGGGGCGCGGTGAGCAGCCAGCCGCCCCCGCAGCGACCTGCCGGTCCACGATCCTCACAGCGATGTGCCGGAGCTTCCAGTACGATGGAGCCCTCCGCGTTCAGTGTCAAAGGCCCCCACCGCGCAACATGCGCGACGGCGCGGCGTGCGGTGGGCCACGCCGACCCCTCCCTCTCTCCGCGGGGGGAGGGAGCAGGGATGGTGGGGATTGTTGGGGAAGGGAGGGGAGGTTGAGGGTGGGACGATGAAGGCACTCTCGGGATCTCAGGGCCCCTCCCGGCCCCCGGGAGAGTCCGACCAACTGCCCGCTCAGGGTGCGGAGCCGGCCTTGGAGGCACGGCCTTCCTCGCTTTTTCTCCGACCCAGGACAAGCCGCCCGCGCGCCCGCGTGGCCCAGCGTCCAAAAAATAAAAGTGCCAGGTCCTCGCGCGCACACTCTCTCGCGGAGTGCGGCACCCATCCCCCCTATCTAGAGGCCTCCTAGATGGGGTCCGAGTAGATGGGGTCGGAGGTTCACGCCGCATCGCCCATGCATCGGCGATGCACCGGTGAGGCATCGGCGATGCATCGGCGATGCATCGCCGACATCGTCGACGCATCGGCGACGTCGGCGTGGAGAAAATCGGGCTCCGCATCGAGCCGCATCGCCGATGCATCGGCGATTCAGCGCAATCCTCCGACCCCATCCACTCCGACCCCATCTGGGAGGCCTCGACTGCTGGGCCCCACATGGGTGCGACAGGCTGCTGCCGCGGCGGCCGTTCCACTCGCCGCCGCAGCGGCCCGCGCCCCCGGCGCGCGAGCGGGGCCTGCCGCGGAACCCTGCCGCCGACGCGGGGCCCCGCACGCGCAGCATCGAACCACGCCGGCGAGCTGGGCACACGCCCGCGCCTGCCGCTCCCTCCAGGCCCGTGCTGGCTCGGAGGGCACGCGTTCGTCTCTCCCATCCTGGCGGGAGGAGGATTTGAGCAGGGGTCGACCGTCCCGGCGTTACCATAGGCGTACCACAGCATATTCTTAGAACAAGCGAGTGTTCGAATCACAGAAGCAATACTCTTAGAGCATGAAGCTGTCCTGTTGAAGCAAGAAGGTCTCAAGCAGAAATGTTCTGAGAACAATCCGTGCATACCACAGAAGGTTCTCAGAACATTCTTTCAGGCAAGCTATGACGCTTCGCCACTGCTCGAAGGATGGCGGGGAAGATGAGGAAAAAGAGGAGTGAGGAGGAGGAGGAAGGAAGAGGAGCAACGCGGCCCAAGCGCGGACACGCGAACGGGCCGCTCGCCCGCGGCGACGGCCACCCCCCCTGGCTACTCGGGCCTGTAGCTGTTGCTCTTCCAGTCGCAGCACGGGTTTGTCTTCGACATGTCGCCCCAGACCATCTTGCCGTACCCGCTTTCGTATCCCCCTTCCTTCGTGGGCTTTCCCCAGCGTTTCTTGAAGTCCTCCTTCTGGCGCCCCAGCTTCCAGAAGATGAACATCGGCCCGCCGAATATGACCCCCGCCAGCAGCGCAAACACCACCGCGAACCTGAGCAGCACCCACACCGAGGCCCCGGAGAGGCTCACCACGCCCTTGCCGAGCCCCTGCGCACTGCCGAAGAGGCGCGGCGCGATGCCGCTGAGGGCCTGCTGGACGAGCACGGCGGCGGCCCAGTCGGAGATGTGGCCACCCTTGGACTTGGGGGTCATGCCGGTGTTCTCCTCGAACCACTGCAGGTGGGTTTCGATCACGCTGTCGGCGCCAAAGAGCTGCGCCAGGCTCCTGAACAGCTCACCGCCCGTGAACATGCAGGCCACGCGGACAATCACCGCGAAGACGAGGGTGCCCCTCAGCACGAAGGTGCAGGCGCGGTGCGCCTCCACCGAGTAGAGGTGCTGCCTGCGGGTGAGGCGGCTCCACCGGTACGACCACTCCTCGAGCCAGTCCTCGCTGGGCCTCCTGCGGCGCAGGGTCCTCGGGACCACCGCGATGCCCGAGTCCAGCTTCAGCTTGGGCGCGAGGCTGATCTTCTCCACGACCTTCGCGGTCTTCTCCAGGAAGTGGGTGAGCGTGTGCTTGCGCCCCTCATGGTCATACGTGAACCTCTGGATCTGGACCTCCACGAACCTCACCAGCGTGGCCACCGGCGCGAAGAACCAGGGGATGACGTGCGAGATGACAATGCGCACGAGCTCCTCGAAGACAAGAGCCTTGATCAGCTCGGAACAGATCAGGAGCCACGTGTCTGTCTCCGTGAGGACGCCCCGGATCCACGTGTCCATGAAGAACCTCCAGTAGGAGTCCTCCAGGTCGCAATACTTGGCGATGTCTGCCTTGAAGTAAAAGAACAAGTTCGGGTCGTACTTCATGAACGCCGACCTGGCCTGCGCCATCCCTGGGCAGTAGCTCGTCCCCTGGAAGTACTCGGGGGTGATGCTGGACCCGCTCATCAGGAAGGCCACGCCCCCCAGCACGAGCAAATCCAGCAGTATGGGGGTCAGGATCTCCAGGGACTGCTCGGCGTCCACCTCCTCGATCGAGTGCTTCTCAGCCTTGGTGGTCGGGTGGTGCAGCAGGGCCACGCAGAACTTGCAGAGGGGCTTCTTGCAGTCGACGCAGTACACGCCTGCGGGCTCCTTCTTAGCGGTGCAATTGACGCAATACACCTCCACCTTCTTCTTCTTCTTCTTCTCCGACATCCCCGGCACGACCTGGCCGCGCAGCCCGCGCCCCGTGGTGAAGCCACCCCTGCCTGGAGCCAAGGCGGGCCCAGCGCTTGAGCCAAAATAAATGGGCACGGAGGGAGCTGGTCCTGGAGGAGGAGGAGGAGGAGCAGGAGCAGGAGAAGGAGAAGGAAAGAGATGGACGAGAAGGAGGAGCTGAGGCACTGCTGAGGCGACTCCACGGGGACTCCAGCCGAACGTCCGCCGCGGCCGCCGCCACGGCCCGCGCGGCTGCTGCGCGCCAAGTGCCCTCTGGTCGGCGCGCAAAAATGTCGTGTGAATCGAGCTGAAAGGGAACGACAACGACGACGACGACGACGACGACGACGACGACGACGACGACGACGACGAGGGCGACGCCGACGGCGGCGACGACGAGACGACGAAGATGTCGACGAGGATGACGACGATGCCGACGCCGACGCAGGCGCCGACGCCGACGACGACGAGGGCTAAGACGCCGACGACGACGACCACGACCACGACTTCGACAACTACGACGCCGACGACGACGACGACGCGCTGAAAGGGAACGTTACGTCGGCGACCAGCTCAGAGGGGGAACCATCGACCTGGAATCGGTGATACATCGCAGATAGATCGGCGGTAGGCTCAGAATGGCGAAACCGCACGTTCCTGGGCAGGGAGGGCTATCGGATCATATCGGCGATGAGTAAACTTTGGGGCCGATGCGTCCCCTCTGAGCCTATGCCCCCTAACTTTGCACCCTGAAAGAATGCTATGTCGTGGCGAGATCTTCAGGGCGTCGTCGGACGCCCGCTGCTCACGCGCCCTGAGGCCCCAGGCCAAGAGGCTCGGGCCCCAGAAGTGGCCACTCCGCTGCAGCCGGCTGCCCCTGAGGTCGGCCACGCCCTCAAGCAGTGATTATGCTGCACGCCAGGGCAGTCGCGGCAGCGCTGGATGCGGGTGGGCTGAGCCAGCACGGGCCTGCAGCCCCTCGCCAACCGGCCCTACAGGGAGCGGACATCCCGGCAACCCCACGACTGGGTGGAACACACATGGGCCTCGAAGCTTACCTCAAACGTGAGGCTGGCACAGGATCGAGTGGGCAGTGTGGTTGCCAAATATCTGCAAGGTGGGCGGGAGGAGGAGGAGCAGGAGGAGGATGAGGAGGAGTGCGAGTAGCTGAAGGAGGAGGAAAAGGAGGAGGAGGAGGAGGAGGCAGAAACGAGAAAGATGAGGAGGAGGAGGAGGAGGAAGGATCCAGCCCCACAAACCGTGGTCCGGTGCCCAGCGGAGTTGGGGTCCCGCGCAGGGTGCTGGACAAAGTGACCTGTGCCAGACGGAGCGGGCGGTCCCCTCCGAGCGTTCGCCCGGCCGCGGACGACTCCCCCCCCGCGCGGCCCCCCATCTAAGCCTCCTTATGGGGGGGGGGCTGGCGCACGTGCTCCTCCAGAGGTGGCTGAAGAGGTGTGAAAAAGAAGAAACGCCATAAACATAATCTTTTGGCGCTCAACGCGGAATTCTTGGATCTGCGCTGGACCCCCCTCCCTGGCGCGCGGAGCGCGCCAGGGGCGGCGCCAGAGGCGCCGCTGGGGGGGCCCAGCGCGGATCCAAGAAATCTGCGCGCAGGCCAAACATTTATGTTTATGGTGTTCTTACTTCTTGGAGAGGTGCGCGCCAACCAGCGAAGCGCAGGAAGGCTCTTTCGTGCCGCTCCGCATCGCCGGCCATGTTCGGACGACTTGCCGACGCTGTTCGCCCGCCCTCTCTCGAGCTACCTCCCTGACTCCTGGCTCCCGCCCCATGGCCCAGATATGCAGTGGAGGCTCCGAGGCGAGCTGAATGCACGAAGGAGCCCTGATAGGAAGGAGGAGGGAGTGGCAGAGGGGGTGGGACGGAGGAGGATGTCTTCCGAAGGTCAAGGAAGTTTGCCGCTTTGTCTTGTGAACTTTCTGCTCGGAAGGAGGGGGAGGGGACGGAGGGGGAGTGGCAGGAAGGAAGAGTACACGAAGGCTCTTTCATGCCGCTCCGCATCGCTGGCTATGCTCCCTCGCCCGCGACGGCCACCCCCCCTGGCTACTCGGGCCTGTAGCTGTTGCTCTTCCAGTCGCAGCACGGGTTTGTCTTCGACATGTCGCCCCAGACCATCTTGCCGTACCCGCTTTCGTATCCCCCTTCCTTCGTGGGCTTTCCCCAGCGTTTCTTGAAGTCCTCCTTCTGGCGCCCCAGCTTCCAGAAGATGAACATCGGCCCGCCGAATATGACCCCCGCCAGCAGCGCAAACACCACCGCGAACCTGAGCAGCACCCACACCGAGGCCCCGGAGAGGCTCACCACGCCCTTGCCGAGCCCCTGCGCACTGCCGAAGAGGCGCGGCGCGATGCCGCTGAGGGCCTGCTGGACGAGCACGGCGGCGGCCCAGTCGGAAATGTGGCCACCCTTGGACTTGGGGGTCATGCCGGTGTTCTCCTCGAACCACTGCAGGTGGGTTTCGATCACGCTGTCGGCGCCAAAGAGCTGCGCCAGGCTCCTGAACAGCTCACCGCCCGTGAACATGCAGGCCACGCGGACAATCACCGCGAAGACGAGGGTGCCCCTCAGCACGAAGGTGCAGGCGCGGTGCGCCTCCACCGAGTAGAGGTGCTGCCTGCGGGTGAGGCGGCTCCACCGGTACGACCACTCCTCGAGCCAGTCCTCGCTGGGCCTCCTGCGGCGCAGGGTCCTCGGGACTACCGCGATGCCCGAGTCCAGCTTCAGCTTGGGCGCGAGGCTGATCTTCTCCACGACCTTCGCGGTCTTCTCCAGGAAGTGGGTGAGCGTGTGCTTGCGCCCCTCGTGGTCATACGTGAACCTCTGGATCTGGACCTCCACGAACCTCACCAGCGTGGCCACCGGCGCGAAGAACCAGGGGATGACGTGCGAGATGACAATGCGCACGAGCTCCTCGAAGACAAGAGCCTTGATCAGCTCGGAACAGATCAGGAGCCACGTGTCTGTCTCCGTGAGGACGCCCCGGATCCACGTGTCCATGAAGAACCTCCAGTAGGAGTCCTCCAGGTCGCAATACTTGGCGATGTCTGCCTTGAAGTAAAAGAACAAGTTCGGGTCGTACTTCATGAACGCCGACCTGGCCTGCGCCATCCCTGGGCAGTAGCTCGTCCCCTGGAAGTACTCGGGGGTGATGCTGGACCCGCTCATCAGGAAGGCCACGCCCCCCAGCACGAGCAAATCCAGCAGTATGGGGGTCAGGATCTCCAGGGACTGCTCGGCGTCCACCTCCTCGATCGAGTGCTTCTCAGCCTTGGTGGTCGGGTGGTGCAGCAGGGCCACGCAGAACTTGCAGAGGGGCTTCTTGCAGTCGACGCAGTACACGCCTGCGGGCTCCTTCTTAGCGGTGCAATTGACGCAATACACCTCCACCTTCTTCTTCTTTTTCTCCGACATCCCCGGCACGACCCGGCCGCAGGGCGCAGCCCGCGCCCCGTGGTGAAGCCACCCCTGCCTGGAGCCAAGGCGGGCCCAGCGCTTCAGCCAAAATGAATGGACACGGAGGGAGCTGGTCCTGGAGGAGGAGGAGGAGGAGGAAGGGGAGGAGGAGGAGGAGGAGGAGGAGGAGGAGGAGGAGGAGGAGGAGGAGCAGCAGGAGCAGCAGAAGGAAAGAGGTGGACGAGAAGGAGGAGCTGAGGCACTGCTGAGGCGACTCCACGGGGACTCCAGCCGAACGTCCGCCGCGGCCGCTGCCACGGCCCGCGCGGCTGCTGCGCGCCCAGTGCCCTCCGGTCGGCGCGCATAGTGTCGTGCAGATCGGGCTCGCTGCAGGAGGTGGCGCACGAGCTGACAGGGAACGACGACGACGACGACAACGACGACGACGACGACGACGACGACGACGACGAGGACGAGGACGAGGACGAGGACAAGGACGAGGCCGAGGACTAGAACGAGGCCGAGGACGAGGACGGCGACGACGACGAAGACGACGACGACTACGACTGCAACTACGACGCCGACGACGGCGAAGAAGACGACGAGCTGAAAGGGAACGTTACGTCGGCGACCAGCTGGGCAGGGAGGGCTATCGGATCATATCGGCGATGAGTGAACGCTTTGGGGTCGATGCGCCCCCTCTGAGCCTATGCCCCCTAACTTTGCCCCCTGAAAGAATGCTATGTCGTGGCGAGATCTTCAGGGCGTCGTCGGACGCCCGCTGCTCACGCGCCCTGAGGCCCCAGGCCAAGAGGCTCGGGCCCCAGAAGTGGCCACTCCGCTGCAGCCGCCTGCCCCGGAGGTCGGCCACGCCCTCAAGCAGTGATTATGCTGCACGCCAGGGCAGTCGCGGCAGCGCTGGATGCGGGTGGGCTGAGCCAGCACGGGCCTGCAGCCCCTCGCCAACCGGCCCTACAGGGAGCGGACATCCCGGCAACCCCACGACTGGGTGGAACACACATGGGCCTCGAAGCTTACCTCAAACGTGAGGCTGGCACAGGATCGAGTGGGCAGCGTAGTTGCCAAATATCTGCAAGGTGGGAGGGAGGAGGAGGAGCAGGAGGAGGAGGATGAGGAGGAGGAGGAGGAGGAGGAGGAGGAGGAGGAGGAGGAGCAAGAGGAGGAGGAGGGGGAGGAGGAGGAGGAGGAGGAGAGTGAGAGGAGGAGGAGGAGGAGGAGGAGGAGGAGGAGGAGGAGGAGGAGGAGGAGAGGGAGGAAGGATCCAGCCCCACAAACCTTGGTCCGGTGCCCAGCGGAGTTGGGGTCCCGCGCAGGGTGCTGGACAAAGTGACCTGTGCCAGACGGAGCGGGCGGTCCCCTCCGAGCGTTCGCCTGGCCGCGGACGACTCCCCCCACGCGAGGCCCCCCATCTAAGCCTTCTTATGGGGGGGGCCTGGCGCGCGTGCTCCTCCAGAGGTGGCTGAAGAGGTGTGAAAAAGAAGAAACGCCATAAACATAAACTTTTGGCGCTCAACGCGGAATTCTTGGATCTGCGCTGGACCCCCCTACCTGGCGCGCAGAGCGCGCCAGGGGCGGCGCCAAAGGCGCCGCTGGGGGGGCCCAGCGCGGATCCAAGAAATCTGCGCGCAGGCCAAACATTTATGTTTATGGTGTTCTTACTTCTTGGAGAGGTGCGCGCCAACCAGCGAAGAGCAGGAAGGCTCTTTCGTGCCGCTCCGCATCGCCGGCCATGTTCGGACGACTTGCCGACGCTGTTTGCCCACCCTCTCTCGAGCTACCTCCCTGATTCCTGGCTCCCGCCCCATGGCCCAGATATGAAGTGGAGGCTCCGAGGCGTGCTGAAGGCACGAAGGAGCCCTGATAGGAAGGAGGAGGGAGTGGCAAAGGGGGCGGGACGGAGGAGGATGTCTTCCGAAGGTCAAGGAAGTTCGCCGTTTTGTCATGTGAACTTTCTGCTCGGAAGGAGGGAGAGGGAACAGAGATTGGAGGGGCGGGCGGAAAGAAAGAAGACACGAGAAAAACGCCCCTCGCATGTGGATCCTCGCACTCTGCATCGCACCCGTCTATGTTGCGATTGACGTTCCGGCACCTCTCCTCGGAAGCCGAGCAGAAGAAGCAGAAGAGGCAGTAAGAGAGAGGGGGGCACAGAGAGAAAGAGAGAGAGAGAGAGAGAGAGAAAAAGAGAGAGAGGGAGGAATAAGTCTCCTGGGGATCACACTGCCTAGATTGCGCACGATGCCGAAAACAATGCTTGCACTTAAGGTTCCTATTCTGGTTAATAGAACTGGGCCTGTGTGTCAGTCCGGCGGCTACATTCCGGCTGTCGCCGCCCCTTCGCCGCCTCGTCGCAGCCCGTCGCCCGCCTGGGCTGGTGTGTCGGTCTGGCGGCTCCGTGCCAGCCGTCAGCCTTCGTCGCCACCCGTCATCTGGGCTTGACTGTCGGTCTGACGGCGCCGTGCTCGCCGTCGCCGCCCGGTCGTTGCCTATAGATTGTACAGCATTGATTGCACTGCGTAGATTGCTCTAGATCGAGTGCACTGCATTCTCTGCACGAAGAAGATTGCATCGCCTTCAGACTGCACTGCATAATTTGCACAACATAGAGTGTGCAACGAAAAACACACCATAAATCAATATTTACCCTCCCCCCGGAATCAACAGTACCCTTTGTCGTTTTGCAGTTCAATATGACTACGCACCACCGTCAATCCTAATTATGATGTCGTATCATCCGAGCTAAACCGGCATGTCCCCCTCACGTTCTGCAAAAAAACGATGCGCACGCACTCGTTGATCAAAACTGATCATAGTTCAAAAATCAGTATGCGAAAAACGGGACGAACAGCACACACGCGCGTCGTCGCGCGCGCATGTCGAAATCCTTCAACAACCTTGTGTGTCGTAGGGTGTTCAAAATCGAATGTCCCGAAAACGCATAAAACATGGTTTCGCAACACACATTTTCAGAAATGGCCTGCGCTCGCGCTCTTGCTGATTCTTCACGAGACCATTGGTTTTCAACGTGTCCATCACATGCTACCAAGCACGCCTCTCGCGCGCGCATGTCGAAATCGCTCGAACGCCCTTCCGCGCGTGCTGTCGCCAGAACCCGTTTGCAAAAAAAAACGGGAAACACCGTATATAAGCACATGGTTGCGCAACACACGTTTTCAAAAATGCCGTAGCTCGGGCTCCTCCGGATTCTTAAGACAACCATGGATTTCATTATGATTACATGATACCAGACGGACTCGAAATCATTCGAACGCCCTTGCGCGCGTGCTGGGGGAACACTACCCGTGTCAAATAAGACCACGCGGGCCACTCTCGCGCCTCGGCCGCGCATGCATGCCGAACTCTTTCCAAAACCTGCATCACCGACGCGAAGACGCCGTTATCGTCGCCGGCGTGATCAACATCTTTGCCGTCATTGGCCGTGCCGTCGTCGCTGTCATCATCGTCACCAACATCGCTACAACCATCACCGTGTACCGTTTGCCATGATCCCGCGCCCGCCCAAGTCGCCGACTCACACTGAAGTGCCCGCTGGGAGGTGCCCAGTAGCTGCACCACTGCGGCCGCGTCGGTCGCGCCACGCCCATGCCAGCACACCCCTCACACGCTTCGTGGCCCCATAGGGAGCTCCACCGAGGGCCCCAGCGGCTGCGCTCGCACGGCACCACCGCACCAATTTCTGGCACACCCTCACACGCTTCGTGGCCCCATAGGAGGCTCCACCGAGGGCCCGAATGGCTGTGCTCGCACGGCATCACCGCGCCTATTCCGGCACACCCGTCGCACGCTTCGTGGCCCAACAAGGAGCTCCACCGTGGACCCCAGGTGGCTGCGCCCGCATGGTATCACCACGTCAATTTTGACACCCCTCACACGCTTCGTGGCCCCATAGGGAGCTCCACCGAAGGCCCCAGTGACTGCGCTCGCACGGCACCACCGCACGAATTTCGGCACATCCCTCATCCCCACCGAAGGCCCCAATGGCTGCGCCCGCATGGCACCACCGCGCCGAGTTCGGCACCCCCCTCGCACGCTTCGTGGCACCATAAGCAAGTCCACCTGGGGCCCCAGTGGCTGCGCTCGCACGGTGCCATCGCGCCCATTTCGGCAAACCCCTGCCAGGCTACGTGGCCCCATAAGGAGCTCCACCGACGGCCCTAGTAGCTGCGCTCGCACGGCACCACCGTGCGCACTTCGGCACACCCCTCACACGCTTCGTGGCCCCATACGTAGCTCTACCGAAGGCCACAATGGCTGCGTTCGCATGCCACCACCGCACCCATGTCGGCACATCCTCGCACGCTTCGTGGCCCCATAGGAGGTTTCACCGAAGGCCCCAATGGCTGCGTTCGCATGGCGCTACCGCACCCATGTCGGCACACACACACACACACACACCTCACACGCGTTCGCATGCGCCCACCGCGCCCATTTCGGTACATCACTCACACGTCGCGTGGCCCCATAGGAGGTTCCACCGAAGGCCCCAATGGCTACGCTCGCATGGCGTTACCGCACCAATTTCGGCACACCCCTCACACGCGTTCGCATGCGCCCACCGCGCCCGCTTTGGCACATCACTCACACGCTTCGTGGCCCCATAGGCTTCACCGACGACAGTACTCACACTTGCATTACTCACAACTGCATATGGCTTGGTCCCTCGACAAGCTTAATTCCCAACCTTCCTTGGTTGGGTATTCGATTCGAATCGAGCACTGCGGTCGCGTCCTCCGACTCCCCCTGCCCGCCTCCCGCCTCCCGCCCCCCTCCGTCTTGTCTCCTCTTGCCGTGCCTGGGGGGCTGCGATCTGCGAAACTGTCGCCACTATCGAAGGCTACTGGTGGGTCCAGCGGGGTGAGGCACCGCGCGGATCTGAGCGGTAGCTCGCCGTCCCTGGGGGGCTGCGATCTGCGAAACTGTCGCCACGTTCGAGGGCTGCTGGTGGGTGCAGCGGAGTGCGGCACCGCGCGGATCTGAGCGGGAGCTCGCCGTCCCTGGGGGGCTGCGATCTGCGAAACCGTCGCCACTTTCGAGGGCTGCTGGTGGGTCCAGCGGAGTGAGGCACAGC